ATTTATTTTAAGTCAATAATTTATTTTGCTCATTTACATGATTTGTAGCAAGGCGTATAATATTTCCACTAAAATTATTCTGCATTTTTAACTATTATATGAAGTATGTAAAAACACAAATGAGTTAGTTTAGTACATGATTATGTCTAGGTTTTTAGACACTTTATAATATTAATTTATAAACGCTCTTTGTGACTTTGTTCTAATTAATAACGAATTTTATATACAATGTAATATATTCAATAATGTAAATTATTTGATACATGCATGTAAAGCTATTAATTAAATTGACATTATTGAATCAAATAAATAATTATTATGGTAATTAACTATTGCATTCTTATCTCTCTTAAGAAAATAATTATTGGTTGTATGAAATAATTATATAATTCACAATTGAAACAGACATAAAATTATCAATAATTTATAAAAATAAAATTACAATTATTTATAAAAACAATTCTTAGCATCAGTTTAATCATCGACCGAAATGTACGGATATATTGTTTAACATTACGTACAACTTTTTATTATACAATACATTTATAAAATTGTTTCTATATCATTTAATTATATTTTTAACGGTCTCGGTCATTTGAAATATTATTCTTGTTAATAGCATAATTAAATTAATTATTCATATTTTTACTACATGCTTTATATTTTAATACTATTGTCAGTAAATATAATTTAGTTTATAGTACTTGAATATTAATATTTCAAATACAAAAATAATAGTATTAAATATATTAATGTTGATACAAATATTTATAACTCTACATGCTTTATATTTTAATACTATTGTCAGTAAATATAATTTAGTTTATAGTACTTGAATATTAATATTTCAAATACAAAAATAATAGTATTAAATATATTAATGTTGATACAAATATTTATAACAAAAAACAAAGAATCAGCTGATTTACGATTATTATCAACATGATCATAATTGTATTCACGATAATGATCTAGTTCTTTAAAGAATTTATCATGCCAATGAGTTAACAAGCTTGATTCTCTCATACGACCTATTCTGAACGGTAATTTAATAAATTAAATTAAAAATTAATGTAGTAACAATTTAATTAACTAATATTAATTAATATATACATGTCATTTAATGGCTCATAATAGATTGAGTTTTTCTGTAAACCAATGCCGGTAATAAAATGCGATATTTTGTTAGCACCATGGTGTTTTGATATATAATGCCGGGTTATATTTGAAATGATTAGGTTGTAGTTTAAAATACTTCTGCCATCAATTACTGAATATGTGTTTACATTGTCTAATAAATAAGCATATTCATTCATTTTAGAGCTTACAGTGTATTTAAGTTGAAAATGTACATTTGCCTTGTTTAAAGTATCCTTAATCAAGTAAAATTTTATTTAGTTATAGTTTTAAGGTATTTATTAATTAATATTATTTACTAAAATATATTTTTGGATTGAATTGTTTTTTACTACAAGTCTTATCTCTCTTTTATTTTGACTTTCAATTAACTGATCCATTGTTTCAATCCTATGCTCCACAGGAAATGCAATCAACGAATATATTGTACCCGAATATGCTAATTGTAATACCACTGTCATTGTGATCCAGGTAAGAAATATTAAATTATATGGATATCTATGCAAGATTTTAGAGATTGTTTTTCCAAAAATAATGATAAATACATTCCAACATAAAGTGTATTTATTATTGGATTTATAGATAGTATTTGTAGTGAATATAACGGCAATGAATAGTGTGATTGTGGTTAGGATTGAGAGCCAAATATAACTGTCGAAGGGTTGCAACAAATTGTTAAAATGTGAAATTCTCGGCGGCGGAGATGTAAAGCTAATGCCATCTAAAATATGTTTCTTGCATAGATATCCATATAATTTAATATTTCTTACCTGGATCACAATGACAGTGGTATTACAATTAGCATATTCGGGTACAATATATTCGTTGATTGCATTTCCTGTGGAGCATAGGATTGAGAGCCAAATATAACTGTCGAAGGGTTGCAACAAATTGTGGAAATGGGTTGTCGTCGGCAATGGAGATGTGAAACAAATATTGTCTGAATGGAAGGGATACGTAAAATCAATTGCATTTTGTCGTAAACTTGTCATGATCATTTTTGTTGAAATATCAGCCTCCTTGATTATCAAATAAAAAATTAATTATTTTTGAAAAATTGAATATTTATACAAACCAAAAATTATAATAGCTACCTTATTAAATAATTTGCCCATAACTCCGGGCCACGTGTTGTTAACCGGTTGTGAACCCCAAACCCCATTACAGTAAATAATATCATAGCTTATGTTAAAGTGCTTTTTAATTGTGTTATAAAATACACCATCAATCCCATCAGTGATATAGTATTTGTTATCCGATTTATTTTGCCTAACCTCGTAAAATGGAGGTAGCTAAATTACAATCACAATTTTTATAAACACAATTATATATTATACATTGAAATTAAATCACAAATTAATACTTACACTATTTGTTGCAATACGAATTATGTTTCCACTTAAATCATATTTCATATTGGTTGAATTTAAATAATAATTGAATTTAGTAATAAACTAGTTGAAGTATTTAAATTAATTACTTTATAATTTTTAACTAGCATTATTTTATGCTAATAGACTGACTAAATTTGATGTCATAACTCTTTAATAATAATTAACTTGTTAATTGAATTATACTCAAATGTACTCAATTGTATTACTAATATGTTTAATTTACTTGTTTACAAATAAAATATTCATTATTTGTACGGCATTATATAAAGTAAGAATAAGAATAATTAATTTGTTTATTACAAATAAATAAATGTCATTAAATTAATCATTAGTAAATTATTTTATACACGTGTTATTAAAATTCTCTTTTCAATCAATTTATATAATTATTATGGATTTTTAAATTTTTATAAATATACATTTATAAATTTTTACTATAATATTATATTAATTATGTGCGATAAATACAAACATTAACAAATTTTAGACCTTTGTACAAATTAAATAAATTTTATTTTTAAATTATAATAAAATAATTTTAAGTATAATTGTATTTTGTTTCACAGTAAGTTTTAAACCCATACAATATGATGCTATAAAATAGAATTATTTATTAACATAGATGATTGTCTTAAGAATATGCGCGATAAATTGATTGATTTAGAGAGAGAGAGAGAGAGAGAGAAAGAAAGAAAGAAAGAGAGAGAGTAGAAGGAAAGAAAGAAAGAGAGAGAGAGAGAGAGAGAGAGAGAGAGAGAGTGCTAATTTGAAATTATTAGTAATTTCATAGCAACACAAATGAGTGATTAAAAACACTTAACAATATAAATAAGATGTGCAGACAATTACAGCAAAATATAATACTCTTTATTGAGAACAAATAGCAATCAATACAATGTTATCAATAAATGCAATAACAGGTAAACAGTCTTATAATTCATAGAAAAATACAAAATAAACCATATTTTCACAGCATTTCTACTAATAATTGCCGCAATTGTGGTGAACGGGGAGTACTGTCCGGACCCGGATGTGATCAGCCCGTGTAGTTGCGATGGCAAGCGTATCAAATGTCTGGCCCTAGGCGAAATTGAGCTTGCACCCATCATGGAGGCCTTGTTGGACGGTCAACAGCACCGGTATTACCAAACCTTTGAGTTGGAGAGCAATGCTGCGACAAAACTGGACGCCTATACGTTCAAAGGGGTCAGATTTGAGGAGATTGTACTGACCAGTGGCCCACTCTTATCATGCGTACACCCCATGGCTTTTGCCGGACAGGAGGCCAGTGTAACTAGGTTTGAGGCCACGCTCACTAACCTTAGGTTTGTAATATACATGTTTGTTAAGTTATTTTATTTAATAACTTATACTGGTCAAAAATCCTGACCCTTGATAGTGTCACCAAAAAGTTTATTTTTTAAATAAATATTTACTTTCTGTATAACTAATAATACAAGAACTTTAGGTTACACTATCTTATATTGTCAAAATCATAGATTAAACATTTAGGCTAACCTGGTTATATGATCTAGCTCACCACGGACCAGTGAATGCGATTTATTTTACGCGCTGAGTGGTCTAACACAATTGCAATCTATAACCATGATTGGCACCCAACTCAATGAAATACCCGACGGGGCGTTTACCGACAAAATGGGCGATCAGTTTAATTTGACGACCATTTTGCTTAGTAATGGCCGTCCGGGCGGTCAGATCGAGCGCATCGGCAAAGCGGCGTTTACGGCGCTAAGAGGTTTTGTACTCTACAGAATTATCAAGCACATTTATTTAAATTAATAGTATTTACTGTATATTTCATGTTAAATGTTTCATGTTAAAACATATTTGTATTTAGCGCTTGAAAAGTTGGACCTATCGTATCAAAAGTTGACTAAGGTGGGTGAAGGTGCATTCAATCTGTCTGATTATATCGGCGATGGTATGACTATAAACCTTATGGGCAACGCACTGACGGCCACATCGTTTGGCGGCGATCTCGTGACAGACGGTGCGGTCACTCAACTGAATCTGTCGGGCAATCGAGGGCTTAAATATTTGCCCCAAAGTGTATTCAAAGGGGTTTTTAAAGCAAATAAGAAAAACACAATTGATTTGAACGCAGATCTCATGGAAATTGATTCAAACAATAAATGGTTAGTCGAGCAGAAGGTTAGCCTCGATCTCAACCATCGACTACTGCACGCCATGTGTGGCGACGGACGCCCACTGCTTAACCACACTGTGGCTGAAATGGATAAACCACCCAAATATTAATAAATTGCATTTTATTTTTTATAAAGTTTATTTTGTTATCTAGCGCTGTTAATTAATTAATA